CCGAGCTGTGGACTTGTTTTATATAAAGGGGTAAGAAATGAGAAAGGACTGAAAATATGTAGGGCGTGAAAGGGAGTGTGGATTAGTGGGTAGAGCACAGAGTAGGCAATTGGCAAACAGGTTCCCCACTCCTAGTTTGGTTGGAGTAGTTGTGAGAACGGGGGCCAGCGAATCATGGGCTGGTTGATCTAATTCTCTATGAGTCTTCATGACTTCATCAGTCATTGGTGTTTGAAACTCTGCTCTGGAGCCTGTCTAAAGGAGTGCCCTGGGGTTGGCTTAACTGTTTCTATTCTATTTAGTTTGAAATGGACCAAATTTTTTCACTTTTTCCATCCGGTGGAAGGGTTTTTTTTTAGGTACCTACCCATGAAGATGTTTGTGCAGCACACTGCACAGTGGAAACACTTTAGTACGAGCAATAAACTACCCAAACTTACTGGTGTATATACAATGAAAAAAATGAAGTTCAAAACAAGAACAAAAGCATCATGGAATATTAAAAAAAATAATCAAGGATTTAGAGGGGTCACAATCATGAAAAATAAGAGAATGAGCAAGCAAAAAGGCTGTGTAGCTATTTCAGAAAAAAAAAGTTTCATTTTTGCTGAAAAATTTCAGTCGCTTCCACACTACATGCCTCAGTTTCCCTAATTGCTACATGGGGTTAGCAACCAAGACCTATTTTTGCAAAGGTGTTGTCAAGTTTAATTTGTGAACCTTTGAAAAACGCTCTGAGTTTTTCAGATGAAAGGCACTGCAGATGCCAAACGTGGGTGTATACTCTGAGTCAGAGGCATAGACACGGGCATATTGTGTGATCGGCTTGACGCAGTGCACTGGATAGGAGACAGTTGTCCTCTGCAGGAAATGTAGGGATAGCTGGTGCAAAAATCACAGATGATGCTTACACAAGTGTGAACTCATGCTATAGAAATCAGGAGCCACCCTCTGGGAGGTGCAAAGATAAAGCCTGCAATAAAGACACGTCCAGTCTGTACTTTACTTTGGCTTCTAAATTGCCTGAAATGGATGCGTGCACACAAGTCTTCAAAATATGGTTGGGAACTGAAGCACAGATTGTCTAACAAACTACCCTTTAACTCCAGTAGTCCTCCTGTGACTCCCAGGCAGAATTAGCCAGCACTGGCAGTGGTTATGAGCACCAATAAGACCACGCGCACCTCAAGTTTCAGATAGGTGCGAACAGTGTATTTCCCAGGAGAGGCCAGAAACGACAAGAGAGAGATGGGCCCCATCTGCAAACTATTTTTTAGCATGAAAAAGACATGATGAGGTGCAGAGAGGTGATGGGGAAAAGAGCGGGCTTGGCCTTTGGCTACAGAGCAATGCTGCAGTCCCAGGACGCATGGCAGCAGAGGTGCATTTAGCTCTTGCTGGTCACATGTGGGCCAGCCATGGTTTCACAGGTATTTGCAAGCAGGACGTGCCCAAGGCACTAATGCCAGGCATGTGGGATGCTACAAGAGTGAGCTGAGGTTGAAAGGGGACCAGTGAAAGTAGCATTACACAGAAGTGACTGGCAACAGCAGGTAATGTTCCTTACGCACACGTGAGTGACATCCTTTCTTTCCTTCTGCAGACTTGAGGGATGTTCAGCCCAGACTACTGGCAAACAGATTTTTCTTCAAGAAATCCAGTTTGCACTTGGCTCCATTAGTCTGTATATGCGTATATGCACATGACCTCCCTCTTTCTGTCTGACACAGAGCATTTAAGCTGAAGATTCTCCAAAATTAAGCAGCAAGGACAGATGCCACTCAAGCTATTCAAAAGCCAAAGCAGAACCTGCAGCTTTATGGAACACACCGACTGTCATGAGGACTGACAACAGCCCATCTGAGTCTGACTGGAGCAGCATTAGATGGTAGACGTTACAATGTCTTCCATCTCAAGTATGGCCATACTTCACTAGTACTGCAACAAATGGAGGAGCTAAAGCCATGGCTGGCATCAGGGTAGGTCAGGCAAAGCCCAGCTGTAACCTGATTTTAAAAAGAGCTGCAAAATGCAGACCTGGATTTTTTCCTCCCCTACTTAGGACACTTCCAACCGGGGTTTCATTACAGATTTCTAATGAGAAATTATTACAGGCTAAAAATCACATTCTCCAGCAACACCACCATTGCATTCTGCGAAAATTAAATTAAGCACAAATCTTAGGCATGGTTAATTTACACCCTGGGCATTAATCTCAGAGCAATCTCACTGAAATTCAGAGCATAATCTATGCTAAATTGATATGATAGGAGTGGAAGATCAACCTCCTTCTTTTGAAGTTGATGGAATTCACCAGTGCTTATAAAAAGCCTTTTTCTTCTGAAATATTCTGTGATTCCAACAAGTTGAACGTTTCCCAGGAATACAGCTAGTGGAGACAGATCTATTTTTAAAACACTCATTTCTTTTTTCTTGCAAGAAATATTTTGGCCATCTAGCTGTAAAATATTTCCTCTTCCACGTATGTTACAGGTATGTCTCTCAGTTCAGTGGACATTTACGGGAAGAGCTACGTAAGGTGTACCTGAACCCTTATCTCAGTGAGAACGTGCAATGAAATAGGCAATGGGGGTTTTATTCTACTAGTCACATTAGTGGAGATTGCATGGCCTGTGGGAAAAACAGGACTAGGCAATTTTTACTTCAGGTCAGCTGTGTTCTTCTGATACATGGCTGGGCTACTTCCAGGTCTAGATGGACAGACCCTGCACAAACCCAACATCAAAATCAAAATAAAGATAATAGGGTCTTTTAAACCCAGTATTATCCATACATTTCCCCTCCCTGTCCTACTGAATACAGTAAGCCCTCCGGGGAACCCAGTTTAAGAATGCTTTATTCTAGGCGTTCATTTTAATTACAACCACAATTATTTTTGTGCATGTGTATGACCCAGTTAACAAACCCATCTTTGGCATCTCATGGTCTCTCCGACCCTGCCCATCTCTGCAAGGAGGTAACCTCAGCTCCTGGCAACAATGAGCAAACTTATTTTTGAAACAAGCGGTCGAACTGGTTGCTACATCTTAATGAAAATGATTTTTTTTAAAAAAACATTTCTATGTATATAAACAGCCCTTCCTCCCAAACCTGGTTAGACAAGAATGTTCCTGGGTGTGGACTGCCTTGTATAATTAACTGCACAGCTGTAGCTTCTGATCCCTGGTAACGTCTGTTTCTTCTTTCTCCCTGCGTCTACCTAGCATAATCCAGGCGTTCTCCTCCTCCTTGCAGGAGCTCCAGGTGCGTCACTTAGGCAGAAACTTTACTGCATTCCACCGCCATTCCTTGCTGAGAGAACGACTGGGCAGACATACCCGCTTTATAGAGGGCTGAGAGACAGGAACTGGAGGAAAGACTGAGCAGTGAAGCCAATTCACCCTGTTTAGACGATGGAAACGGGGAGTGCAGCAAGGACAAATGGTACCACTGGGAAGCCAGAGGATGTGAAGAGTCCATCTGCCCCCAAAAAAGAAGAAGAAGTGAAGAAGACCACAAACCCTGGTGGAGGTGAGAAGGAAGCTATGAAGGGCACTGGTGCTTCTTTGGAAACAGGGCAGATCAAGAGCTCCCTCTTCTCTGGGAGTGACTGGAAGAGGCCCATCATTCAGTTTGTGGAGTCGTCCGATGAGAAGAGATCGACCTACTTCAGCATGGATTCGGCAGATTCAAAGAAGATGCAATATGCCAGTGGACAGATAGGAGACATGAGGAGACCACCCCTCTCCTTTGCAGAGAAAGGTGACCTCAGGAAGCCCCTCTTCTCCTTGGATTCCAAAAAGAGCTTCCTGCCTAGTGAAGGGGAAGGGAGGAAGTCGTTGTTCTCTGGGGGGCAGATGGGGGACCTGAAGAAAACTTCCCTCCCTCTGGTGGAAACAGGGGACCTGAGAAGATCCACCTTCAACAAGCCTGACAGAGCAGCTGGGTCACGGCCCAGGGTGAAGCTTGAGGATGTTCTGTGCGATTCCTGCATCGATAACAAGCAAAAGGCCGTGAAGTCCTGCTTGGTGTGCCAGGCTTCCTTTTGTGAGCTGCACCTCAAGCCCCATCTGGAGGGAGCAGCTTTCCGGGACCACCAGCTCCTGGACCCCATCAGGGACTTTGAAGCAAGAAAATGCCCTGTGCATGGGAAGACCATGGAGCTGTTCTGTCAGACAGACCAGATGTGCATCTGCTACCTCTGCATGTTCCAGGAGCACAAGAACCACAGCACAGTGACAGTGGAGATCGAGAAAGCGGGAAAAGAGGTAACGCTCTTTTTATTGCACGTTCCCATCAGTCTTTCCAATGGACCTCACTATTACACCACAGCTTTTGCTCTCCAGCCTACAGTTTCTCCTAAAATCATGTCTGCAATGTAATTCTGGCATGCAGGGGTCGTGGATGGGAAGTGTTTAGTGGAGAACTGATATTGCCTGGGTTCTGCTGCAATGGGATTGTCGTTCTCCTAATGGCTGGTTACAGCAGCATAGTGCTGGTGGTGTGTAGCAGACTGGGTTGCGGGGGGTAGAGAACCTGGTTTCCACCCCTGGTTGCACCATTGACTTTTGGCAGAAGCTGAATCAAAGCTCTACATGCTAAGTTTTCCAAAAAATGTCTCAAGTTTTGACAGTGTTTGTGTAGCGTTATCCACAGCCAGAAAGGTGGGGCATTGCTCAAGTTCAGGACCTCCAGAATACAGGTCGTCAGATCAGTGGCTGCTCAAGTTACTAGTGGCTGCTAGGTTACTATTGAAAATTGCCATCTCAGCTACTTAGAGTGAGATTATGGCTTTTTGTTTTTCTTTTCTGTTACGGATATAATAGGGTCAAGCCCCACCTACAGAAAGAGTTTTTGAAGCTTAGATGAAGAAAAAATCCTGGTGCAAACACAAAACATTATCATTTCCCCTGAAGTATTACTACAATAGGTTCAAAGGATGGACACGTAAGGAGATGAGGCTGGTATGTGAAACTGTCCTCACTCTAATGAAGTGTCTTCCACCTTTGTTTGCTTAAAGTCTCCTGCTGTTTGCTTTCTGGGTGGATGTATGATTATTCCATTAGCTCTTAGCCAAGATCACGGTCTCACCGTGTTCAGTGCTGTACCTCCCCATAGTAAGAGCATGTTGTGGCCTAGAGACCTTCTGATCTAAGCAGACAGGACAGGAGAGATTACAGAAAGGAGACCCACGAAACAGCAATGTAAAACAATTTGCCTAGAATCACACAGTCCACGGCAGAAAGTGGAAGGGCACTAAGATCTGCTAAATCCTAGTCTTAGGCACAGCTTGAGCCAGCGCTCTGATGTGGTGAACAGGCAAATACAAGTACCCGCTGTTGGAAATTCTTGAGTTACCCTTAACTTGGAAGAACAGTTTAACTCTTTCTAAGGTGCTAGGAAGATTTATCTCATAAGGCTGAAAGAGCATCTTATCTAGAGCTTATGTCTTCCTGGGCAAATTTTTGGTCTTTTCTTGCAATGTCATCTCCAAATTGCAGACTTGCTGAAAGCAGACAAGGTTTCTTCCATGTCTCAGACAGTCTTTCTTAAAGAAATTCCTGCACGGCTTGCTAGCTTGTTTTGTTTCATAATTGCTTGTTCTTGTGTTTTTGATGTCAGCTCTGAACATGGCATATGCTTAACTCTCATAAAGCTGTGTCTAGTGTCTGCCAGGTTGTCCAATTCCTTTTAGCTGTTTCTCCTGAAAAGAGGTTAACAGTTGCTCCCTGAGGAACCAAAGCTGGCCAGAGCCTTCTTCCTGTAGTTGGATGGACCTAGAACACCTTGCTTTTAAAAAAGAGCCAACCATAGCTGAGCAGAGAAGACTTTACCTAAGATGTAAATTACATTTGATTTCTTTCTCAGAGTCCTTGTGCCACTCTTGTTAGCTCCATGCTTTAGTTCCTGTACTGTCTTGTGCTGTTTCTGCTGCTGCTAATCCTAAAGGATTTAGGGCTTTATCAAAATGAGTCATACACATGTGCAAGTTTCTCCTGACAACGAGTTTTGATCATGTTGTAACTTGAGTGAGTATTCACTCAGACAAAAACAATTAACAGGATAGCCGTTGCTTACAAATGTTTATTCCTAGCCCTGATTTATTCACCATTGGTGGAGCCTTAGCAAGAACCACAAAGAGGAATGAACACTTCCCAAGTCCCTTCTGTGCACCACCTATTCTTTTCAAGTCTTGCAAATCAGCCGAGCTGGAATATGACCACAAATTGGAAGAGTGGCAAAGCACGGCTGGTGCTGCTGGCCTTTGTGGAAAGAATAAGCAAAAACCCCACATCAGGTCAACCCCGTTCCTGCCCTGTTTTCACAGCTTGGCATCCAAGCAGCTCCAGGGTAGCTTTACTGCCTCCAAGTTTGCTAACTATGCCACCAGACTGGTGACCAGAATGTACCTAGACAGACCCTTTCACAGAGTGTTGGTTGTCAAGGAACAATTGGTTTATCTGCAAGGATTTCCCAGTCCCTGCTGTACTGTGACTCCAAACCTGGAGAGGATTCCAGCAGAACTGGGGGGGTTCTATGCTGTGATGCACTTAAGCCTGTCAATCTGGGTGCTCAGCAATTCGGTGGCACAAAACTGTCACATAATAAGGTGTAATATCCTTGGTTTAGGTACACCTACTCCTTTTGTATTGCAGAATTAACGCAGGTTACAGTCTCTTTCATGAGTTTATCTTTGCTATAGGCCTGTAGGGAAGAGAGGTGCTGTACTTCAGCGTTGGGAAAGCAAGGGATAGTTTAAGATCCTTCTGTAGAATTAGGTAACTCTGCTTGCCCCACAACGCAGACAGAGACAGTACAGCTTAAGAGAAGAGGAATGCAAACAAGCCAGTATACAGACACCTACTGGTTAGAGCATTTAAGCAAGCAGCGGAAAGCCTGATATGTCTCCGTCTGTGGAAGAGAGGGAGAACACAGCGGCATCTTCCACTTTTCGGGAGCCTGGGGTGAGAGTCAGTCATCTCCCTTCCTGGTGTGCTGCTGAGCAGGCAAGAGTGAAAGGCACAGGGGGTCAGAGACAACTTGGCAGGGAAGACAGAGGCATTTTTTCTGAGTTTCCACACAGTGGTATTTGCATATTTTACCCTGCAAACCTTTAATGCCTTACCCAGATCCACTTTGCATTAGTTTCCTGCTACAGATTTAAAGGAAAAGTAACACCCCCACCAGAATCAGTACAAGAAGCAACCAAGAAAAAGTCTGTGAGGCTGGGTAATAACCACACGCAGTTGAAAAGTGAGAATTGTCAACAGCACCTTGTACACCCCAATAAAACCCTCTGGCCAGCTTGATTTGTCAGCAGAACTAGAGACCCCTTTCAGACAGAATCCTTCATTGTGGAAGAGGATCCTTCATTCAAAACCTGTTTTACAGGCCTGTTCTCAAAACGAGACAACTTCACATATGCCTGCCAGTCACAGAGCTGTAAATAACCTGGTGTTACTATCCAGTGCCAGCCTTAGTACTCAGCATGTCAGGTCAGTTCTAGTGAAAAGCACTTTGATTTTTTTTTTCTTTAATTTTTTACCTTTAAAGAAAAGTTCACATTGTACAGCAGGTTTAAAGAGGCAGCGGAGAACTGCCATGTGGAAACAGGAGCTGGGTGTTCCTCATTTCAACAAAGTGACTTTTAAAAGGGGAGGCTTCACAGAGTCTGAACTAGCCTTTGAAGTCAACCGTGCACAGAGATGGATCCAGAGGGATTTCTATCTGAGCCCTCTCTGTATTGCTTTCACTGTCTGAACAGAAACCAAGCAAGAGTGTATCAATGTGCCAGTGGAAGGATTTTTGGCCTTTCCCACTGATGCAAGGTTAGGGCACGATGTGGCTGTGAGACCTTACGTACACTAGTTGTGGTTGCTCTGCGGACACAGCTTCAAATAGATGCTCTTTCCACAGAGATGGTGCGGTTACCTGCAGGACATTCTTCCTAGCTGGAAGGCTGTGGAAGCTGACCTGCTGCAAATTATGATTTAGAATAGGTTTGCCTGTTTGCCTGCATTCTGCATTAATGCCTCTACAGTGAGGGCAGAACCCAAGGAAAATCCACCAGTTTGCAGGTAAGGAATTATCTTCAAACTGTGCAAAGCAGAGAGCCTTTTCTGGCCTCAGCTCATACAATGACTAGTGGCGTATTTGCAGGATGCTGTCACAGTCTCCAGAGACTGTAGCCCACTGACACCCACCTCTGCTTAACAAAAGCTTAGATGGAAAAATGTAATGGCAAAACCAGCAGAAATAGTGTCTCAATTTGCTGATTTCTCAGCCATGTCATTTCCAATACAGGTCCTGTACTGGGACAACTAGTTTAAAAACTTCTTCTCTAGCTTCTTTATTGCATTTGGTTGTTGCTGTCAGGTAATTAGCATAGCTCTTCCAGGCTGGTGACACAGGGATGTTCCTTGATTCAGGGACTGGGTTCCCAGAGCATTAAGACATGATTATGCTTGTATTGCTGCCTTGCAAAAATGAGTTGCATCATGATGCAAGACTCATAATCTTGCATCTCTAGGTCCTTTACAGCACAAGGGCTAGGTTCAGCTGTGGATGTTTAGGTGTGCACTCTGAACTTTCACAGCCTCTCGACTGTCCTAATTAACTTAGACTCTAATAGGGGATCCTCTCTTAGCTCAAAGACTCTCAGTGCCAGCATTTCTCAACTTGCTATAGTCAAACTGAAGGGTCTAAACCTTATTTCCTATATCTTCTTCACTGTTACTGTTATTTCTGCACTGCAGGGACTCCCCCGACAATGGGTGGAGCTGCTATATTATCTTTCACTAGGACCTTCTGAACCCCAAGTCTCACCCAATGGATTTGTTCTGGGTGGTCCATCACGTAAGGGGATTGGGGATTGTTGACCATGGAGAATCTGAGAAATATGAAGAAACCTAGGAGAGAAGTTTCTTCATAGGGAATGAAGCTGAGAAGTTGACTGTCCCTAGTACCTGTAACCACCCTACTATAAACATAACACAGGATATATGTGGGCAGCTAAAGCAATCTTCCAGCCAGGCCCAGACCAAACAGGGCCTTAGAAACATCGTGGAATCACCTGTGCTGAAACCCTTATGTTGTGGTCCATCTCCAGAGCATCTCTACTGAATCCGTCTCCTTGTGCCCATGTCACCAGTTCTTGTACTATTCCATAGTCTCCCTGGACCTCTTTTTAACATTTTTTTTATGGTAAGACTATCAAACATTTTTTAATGTTTGTACTATCATGCAATGAAACCCCTCCCTTCACCTCCCTTGCCTTTGCTGGTGTCTGTACTAGTGTTTCCTTTTGCCCTCAGTATGGGCGTTTTAACCCAAGCCGAACCTGGATGACTGTGGTATTTGCATTCTGGCTATCGAAACTATCTCTGTAATTTCCATTTTCAAATCATAATTGTCACTTTAAATTGTAGTGCGGGTCTGCTCTTAAATAGTTATTACATCCCATCCCAGAGGCACCCAAACTACCTTTCTGGGTGAAGGGATATTATAACTGCAACAAGCTGTTAAGAGTTAGCTGTCACTTTTGAGCAAGTAATAGTTTGCAAAATTCCTTTGAGATCCATCTTAATTAAAAAGTACTATAAAACTATAATACTGTCATCACGACCTTCCAGCCATCACCTGAAATTTTTTCCTGTTACTTTTCTTTTCAAACCCCTTGCGTTTGGGTGTTTGGGAGTGTCTACGTGGCTGTGAAAGGTCTGCTCTTCTCAAAAAAATCCCTCTATGATTTCACTCACATTCTTGTCATAAGAACATCCTGATATTTAGGGATGAGGAGGGAAACAAGACTTCCCATTGCTCAGGAGATGTACTTTTTACTTTGCTAACAATTAATGCCATCTGGATGTAGCTCTGTGGCGCAAGGAAACAACTTGCATTATAGTGTGATTTCTCATATTGGTTACTGCAGTGCGATGGATACCTGGATCTAAAATGTTTTCATCTCATTGCATTTCTCTGCTGTGCAAAGATGGTTGCACACCTTTATGTCTTGATGCAGAGAACACCTCACAGCACACATGAGAATGGAAAACAGCATGCATTCCTCCAAGTCACTGTCTTGAAAATGTGAAAATGATATGATCAAGCTCAAGCCTTTACTCTCTTGGTCAGTAGTAGAGCAAATTTTCTCATCTTGATACCCTTCCATGTCTGCTCTGAACCCCTGTAGAATATGAGCTCATAACTGCATTCAGTTGACTACTGAAGGCTGTCAGGGTGTATGGATAATATTTAGAGGGCCAGTGCTCTCCTAACTCTCAACAAACAAGGACGGTGACAATGTGAGGATGCAGCTCTTCTGGCATTGAGATACCTTCGAGTACATTTGCCTTTTTTGTTCTCCCTTTCTTCTGTTTTATAAGGCAATAAAACAACTATCAAATTGTTTTCCCTCTATAAATAGAGGTTTTTCTAAATTGGACCAGCTAGAGTCAATGGCTCTCAGATGCAGCTGTGCTCGATTCAAGTTCAAGAGGATGTTCAGACACTACAGTGACTGGCACCAAGACAAGAGCCCTGATGGGCTGATTTCCTTGATCTCAGCTGGTTGACAGTTTGTTGCCTGCTCTTCGTCATGTGATGCTGTTTTCTACTCCTTGAATGGAGAATTGAAAACTTTTAAAGTCCCACCCCAAGGGCAACCATGATCACGAGAGCAGACCCAGGTTTTTACATTGTATTATGTTCTTGGATGCGCAGCAAAGCAGTGGAAACTACCAGCAGGGAGACCTCACTGTGCTAGTTGCTGTAGGAATAGATTTATCCATCCCTCATCTCCTCTGCCTCTAACTGTTGGCCTAAATGTAAGTGCTTTTGGGTAATACAACCATTTGCCAAAGGAACCCACATGAACAACGGGTTTTCAGAACTTTTCTAACATGACATAGCTCAGTTGTGGAATACAGGTAATCTCTGCCAACTGCATAGTTCCTAAACAGCTCTGGGGATAAGTGTCCCATAGCCAGATTGCCTGTAGTTATAGTTGTGCTGTGACCAACCTGTACACACATGAAACACAGAAAGATCTTGAAACGCATAAACAAAGCCTTTGTCGTGATCTGTTGGGCAGGGACGTGGTGAATATGAATGACCAAGGGAGGGGTTGCCCAGAGTTAACGGCGCAAGGCATTACTAAACAGGCAGGTCCTGCTCTGATCCAGACATGTGGCATGCACGCCAACCGGCATGTTACACCGGTGCATGGCTGCCCAGCCCTCCACGAGCTCCAGTTCTATGAACTGCCTTGCATGCAATTGTCTGGTCTGAGCTTCTCTGGGAAGCCAGTGCAAAACGAAATGCAAATGAATCCCAGTGAAGTTGCTGATCTAAGTCAAGCATAGTTGACTACACCTCCTCCCTCCTCCTTTTGTGTTTTTTATTTTTTCCAAGCATTCCCCAGCTTCATCATAACATGAAAGCTCTCAATTCAGAGCAAATTAATCCACAATCCTGTCTAAACAGAATTCCTGCCGGAGGCATCGTCCTCTTGTTGCAACACTTGTCAAACGTCATTCCATAATTACATGAAAACTGTTATTGCTGCAGAGGCACACCCTGGGATGGGCCCTTCGCTGCATACACAGCTGAATTTTGAAACAGGCCTCTTCTCCCTCCAGCTAATGACTCTAATCTGATTAAAAGCGGCACCATGATGGTAGCCTAGTAGGTGGGTGCTTCTGCTGCTGTCTTTGCTGAGGGAGCTGAATCTCTTGACCCAGCCAGAAGCTCTGGGATCTTGTCCTGTGTCATCACATGATCTCCATTTCAAGCAGTGCCAGGAACCTGTACCTCCCAGCTATTATTGTTCAGGGCCAAATGCGTAAACGGAAGCACAGTGCCTCTTTGAAGTAGGCCACCCTCAGCCCCAGTTCATGAGACTCCCCTCTTCTCACAGGCTGAGCTTTCACTGCAGAAAGAGCAACTGCAGCTGAAGATCATTGAGGTAGAAGATGAAATGGATAAGTGGCAGAAGGAGAGGGACCGTATCAAGGTGCGTATGGGATATTCTTTTAAGTTGATGTCTCTCTTTCTCCTGTACTTGTCACTTTCCTTTCTTTTCCACTTACAATCCCTCTCCTCCTTTCCTCTGTTTCTCTGACATATCCAGCTCTTACTCACTCCATCTCTATCTCATCACTCTCGCCAAATCTTGGAAACAACAACTCCTACTGAAGTCATCTTGCAACATACCCCGCAGGAGATCAAGAAGAGGCAGCACAGCCTTGTTACAAAATGATCCAAGGCACCTCCCTGCTTTGGGTCCCTTACAGTTCTTCAATCACCAGTAGCCAGGCTGATTAGAAAACAAACGTGTGCTGCTTTTTTTCCTGCTAGACCACACACAAAAATAAACTCCAGAAGGGCTCTGGATTGCCCAAACAGAGAAAAGGCAACAGGAACAGAGGCAGTTACACCAAGAAACATCTTGTTTATAATGGAACAGCTTATTTCCATACTGATATAGGGCTCCTTTATAATTCTTTCACCACGCTAAGGGTTAGAATATAGTAACGGTGTTACTTTTTTTCATTTATACCCTAACTGAATAGAGCAGTGAAAACACTATTTGGAGACGCCCCAGAAAATTTGCATAATGTTATAATAGGCAAAGCCATTCTTCTCCCTTTTATGTGGTACACACACATTGGCTTGCCAGTTCTGCTTTTCATCTGCTCTATTATTATTACTATTATTATTGGAAATATGACCTAGAAATTTTAACTCTGAAAATAGTTACATTCACAGTCCTTCTGAAGAACATTTCAGAAGGACCTAGAGGTCAGGTTTGTAAAAAGCGCTTCAGCACATTTCATCCTTTGAAATGGTGGGAATTTGGTCCTCGAATTCTTGAGGAGCCAGAACGATAATTTAGAAGGTTAAACAGTGTTTTTAAATATCACCTAAGAGTGCAGTTCATGAATTGAAATAAAATATATGCTCTTATAATCAGGAAGACAGCATGCCCTGTAGATTACACACACATAATTATTGCAAGAACAAGTATTACTTCTCTTGGCACAACTTTTCTGGTGCTAAGACTTACATACCTAGAGTCTCCATAGTCACAGTCTAAATGCTGAGAATGCTTGGACATATCTCCCTCTGTACCCCTCTATTAGGAAGTGACTCCCTGAGAAGTTTAATATTTTATTTCTCCTGCGTCTTTCCTGCTGCCTCCTCTCTTTACCCCTTCCTTCCGTAGAACTACACCACCAATGAGAAAGCCACAGTGGACCAGCATTTCAAAGAGCTGATCCGTGACCTGGAGAGGCAGAGGGATGAAGTGAAGGCTGCCCTGGACCAGAGGGAAAAGATTGCATCAGAGAACGTGAAAGAAATTGTGGATGAGCTGGAAGAGAGGGCAAAGCTTCTGCGGGAGGACAAGGAGAACAGGGAGCAGATCCACCAGATCAGTGACTCTGTGCTCTTCCTGCAGGTAACTGAGATCTCATTTTCCTTTCCTTTTTCTCCCATGAGGACAGGATTTGTCCCAAAGACAAATCCCAAGTTAGTGTAAGATGCATTAATCTTCTCCAGTTCAATGCACATGCATGGCAAGAACCAGCCCTGACATTTGAAGCAGTCTCTGCTCTGGTAGGTGAAGAATGAATGTAGGCATGCCAACGCCTGATTTTTTGTTGATGGCTACAGCTCACGGGCAGAACATTTGTCTGCCCCTCCATCTTCACTGTTCTCCTTTGCACTTCATAGTGCAAAGGAGAATATTTGGAGCTAACATTAGCCAGTTCCCTAGGATCTACCCTCTGTCTCACGTTCCTCAGTAACCTCTCCTCCCTTCTTTTTGACAGGAGTTTGGGGCTTTGATGCGGAATTATGTCCCCCCTCCATCTCTCCCAACATACAGTGTGCTGCTTGAAGGGGAGACCATGAGCCCATCTATGGGACTTCTCAGAGATGACCTCCTAAACGTCTGCATGAGGCATGTGGAGAAGATCTGCAAGGCTGACCTTGGCCGCAACTTCATAGAGAGGAACCACATGGAGAATGGTAGAGTATCTGAGATCTGCCCCTTCCTTCCCTCCCTCCCTGGGCAAAGCCTAGCTCAGAGTCAGAGGAGATGAAGTGTGATGAGTATACTCTCACAGAGGAGAAAGTAACCAAGGACCTAAGGAAAGTGGGAGAAACACTACCTGTAGCTGAAACTCATTCTGGAATATCAGAGCTATCCTACCAGACCTATGTGGGGATGAAGCCAGTTAAACTGCCAGGGATTTAAAGAATCTCATGTGTAGGGGACCCAGGGGTCCAAACTAGCCCTGATTCCCCTGAGTGCTGTTTCGCATTATGGCTTCACAGTGTTTTATCAGTTCAGCCACATCCCGTGTGGGACTTCAGAGCAACACTTCTTTTGGAGGTTGAGAACAGCGACCCTTCCCTCCTGCAAGAGGGCAGCAGGGACACTCTGCCTTGTGCCAGGCTCCAACAAGCCCCTGCAAGCTTAGCACGACAGTTTCTACGTGGAAGACTGCACAGAACACTAATGCAACTCAGTGGCTCACTAGGTAAATTGAGAAGGCAGTGGCAGAAATGAGAATGTAGCCATCCCAGTATGGCAATTTTGAAATCCTGTCATTAGCCTATTTGTACCGCTTGGTCAGCACATTTGCTGTGCTGGTATGACATACCATTTTACAACAGCCCGTTTCAGCCACTGCTTGCCTGGCTGGAACGTGAAATACCCTGCAAGCACCTGTCACTGAAAATCTAATAACAGATCTTCCAAGTAAAAAGGTCTCCATTTTGGTGTTCAGGTTAAGCTATGACTTGAACCAGCATAACCCTCTCGGATCATACTTCTCTGCATGTTCCACTAGGGAGAGGTTTGTTTCCCACCTGCCCTGAGCCAGGGCGTTCAAGGGACATGCAGTGCCAGATGGTCCCCACACTTCAGTGATGTTTAAGGATAGGTGATCTTTCTTATGTGAATAGAGAGGTCGTGGTCAATACTGCAGCGCTGCGAGGAATCTGCTAAGTTTTAGAATCCGCTTACCTTCTGCATCTCCCAATTAGTTCTGCAGAAAGGACTTGTCTTGCATCAAGCTCACGCATAAGATTAGGAGGACAGGGCACTAGAATAGGACTCCACAACTGAGGTTCACTTCCCAGCTCTCCCACAAACAGCCTTTGTAACCTTGGGCAGGTTACTTAATCCCATGAAATGACCTCTTGCACTAAGAATAATAGGGATGGGAATTAATTGTTATCCCACCAGACTGCTATAAGGATATATTCTATTAATAATTGCGGAACTCCAGATACCAGAACAATAAAGGTCAAGAAGTTCGATAGGTAACCTGAAGATAAATTGCACCCTGCTGTCCAGGAGGACGTGTGACTTGAAAAGATGAAGGAATAATCTCAAGTCCAGTTCATACAACACAAGCAGCTGAGGAACTCTGCTGCAAATCTGCAAGATCACTGTTATTTCATTCAAATTCACAGTATTCGCTAGACATTCCTTCCATATTAATACACCACCTTTTTTTCCTGGGCAACAGCCATGCAAATCACTCCAACTTCCTTCCAGAAAACACAGATCCACATTACGAGATGATATGATAGAGGAGGGGAAGAAACAACCAAAAAACTCCCCAAAACCAAAAACCCAGACAAAAAGCAGCCCGTTGAAAAGATGCATAGAGGTCAGAACAACATGGGTTCAGTTATTGGTCAACATGCTAATGTTTTTCAGAGCCTGGGTTTTGTGAATCAGCCTGTCTGGCATTCACAATCCAGAGCAGTAAGAATGAAGGTGACACGGGACCAGAGTACATTTAGATCCGTAATGAGAATCACTAGTATTCATCAAGTGACAGCCTGCTGCCTTCCTATGTTATGGAGAGAAAGAGTAAGTCCCCCGCGCCAAGGAGCCTGCACTGCAAACAGTTCATTAATGTTTATCTAGCACCATCATTCTCCATTAGACATGAAGTAGACGGACCGGATACTTCTGGTCCAGAGAACCAACCTCTCAGAAAAGTCAGGAATCAATTCAAAGTGCTCACGATGCATAGCAAGAGCCAGATTTTTAAACTCTTCCCTACCCTTAAAGTAGTACCAGAAATTGAACATTACTTGTCTTCCAACATTTAACACTGCAACGTACCTGGTCAGGTTCTCAACACTCCATGTGCTAAGATCTGCTGAGAAATTTGTCTATAACTTAATACAAGAAGATGACAGGCAGCTCAGATCCAAAAATCACTTTTGTACATTTTTCTCTCTTCTTTGCCCACCCGGAGATTTGCAGAATTTCCAAACTCTGGATGGCATAATGCCAAAGGAGGTTTGGATGCCTGACTACTCACAGCACTTCTGAAAACTAGATGAGTAGCATAAAAGCACTTTGCATTCAAGTTACCATTACTTAGGAAGTTACCTTCCATCTGCTGAGCTGTTTTTTGCCAACCTGAAGCAAATACATTTTACTTGGCCATTTGTACAACCCAACAAGAGTATGCCTATGTTCAGTTCTAGTAGCTCTGGATAAAGACTGACTACTTCTCGATCACTTTTAATTAGGGTCCCCTCCATGTTACTGATGCCAGAAGTTCTCAATGGTACTTGAAATCCGCGGGATTCAAGTGCCAAAACATTTCTGAGCCGGGCAACAATTAACTACTGCCATAAACCTGGGCACTTTCAGAAACTTTACCAGGGATTTAATGGACACAGCTTGGAGTCTGCCTAATGAGAAGAACAGTGGTATCCACTCAGTTGGGAAATGTTATTTAAGGTGAGTCTCAGAAACTTCAGAGCTCTCCGTTTTTCAAACCACAGTTACACTTGAAAGAGGACAGCACTCTGCATCTAGTGACTGCAAGGAAATAACTCCACAATTACTTAATGGATTTAATTAACTCAGACTCCCCCTGAGTCATTGCAACAAATTCATTTGCAACCGGCTTGATCTTCTAGTGTAAAAAACTTCCCAGGAAGAAATATTATATTAATGGAATGAAACCTGCTTAATAGCAGACTCCAAAGGGAATCCACTTTCTTTTAGTTGTCATAATAGGCACCTACTTAGTAGTGTGGCAAGGAGGCAAATAATCAGAGAGCATCCAGGGAGTTTAAATAACACAGAAATAATTTGGAGAAATAACATAAAAGTTTGTTCAGTGACTTAAGAATCAAAGAATGGAACTATTTAAACATGGGAACCACATTTACCCCCTTTCAGAGAACAATAGGTTTATATAACACTGGAGGCCTTAAAAAAAGTATTTTTATGACCAACTGTACTGATAGAGCATCATTTCACATGGATCAGTGTTGGAAAACCAAAACCAGGCTGCGTAATACCTGGCAAAAGGGTAGGTTTCATCCACTTTGCATGAAACCTGAACCAAACACCCAGGAAGTTAGAGCTGTTTGCAACTCAGGTTTAGCATCTTCCTTTAAAAATTGAACAAACCAACACATTGAGCCCTCCCAACACTGACTTTCTTGAGTTTTATAATACTTGCAGTTCAAGATCTGTTGGTTGAAAGCCAGCTCTGTGTGCAGGTTAAACACACAAAAGAAGCCAAACCCAAACCACCGCTTTTGAAGTGGGATACATTTTTAGCCACAGAGCAGTATTTTGGTAGGAAAATTCCTGAACCCTCAAGTCTCCCTATGGATTTTCAGGAGATAGCATATCCACTGAATGGCCCAATGCTTCAGCTGTGCTACACCTCTGAGGAAGCTTTCTCTTTTATCCCAGGCTGAACCTCTGGGCAGCTACAGCGCTGCTTTACGTCCCAGCTAGAGAGTCCTGCAGAGGAATTACAAAAATTGAGGAACTTGTTTCCAAAGGGCAGAACCATCTCTCCTGCAGCACTTGAGGAAGCAATTCCAGTCTGTTATCCCCTTCCCCCTCCTCCTGTCCCTCTCAAGGCCACTAAACTGCCTCCTCCAGCTCACGTCCTGCTCTGCTTCTCCAGGTGACCACCGGTACATGATGAACAACTATGAGTGGAACCAGCCTGACAACTTGAAGAGATTTTCCATGTTCCTGTCTCCTAAAGGTATGGCACCCTAATGGTGGTCAGGTTTCCTCCAAACACAGCATAGGAAAGGAACTTCATTAATGATTATCCCAAAATTTGCTTTCCCTCATATTTCCTGCTGTCCCCCGTACAAGATTGGTCCCTTTGCATTAGTTTACGCCAGGTCTTCTCTGCAGCCTACAGAGCTTTGAGAATTTTTTGCCTTTTCATCTCAAACAAGCAGCAAAGGTTCTCAACTCACAGAGGAGAGCTAGAGCAGCTGAACTCTTTCAAGAGTTTGTGAATATAGGGGAGTTTAACATGTGTTACTGGGTTGAAATAAGTGTTATGCTCCACCAGAAGCTTACCCCACTGTGCTATCGAGTGTGAAAGCTACACTAGGCTTGCTCTGCATTTGGCTTTTCCTTTCCCCAGAAAACATACTTTTTCCAGGAAAGGATAGAAGAAGTGAGGAATGTGTCCTAAAAAAGCAGGAGTCTGGGATTCTTTTCTGAGCTCTGACACTGACAACAGGAGCCCTGGTGATTTGCTTATATCCCAATTGTTACATGAACGCTACAGGATGAGTCTTTGGAGTGGATGACTGTTTTCAACACATGCCATTGTAAAATGGCAGTTGTCTATTTCTAAATTAGTGTCAGGACCTCCAGAGCGAGAAGCAGAGAGTGCTAAAAGCCTAGGCAAAGCAATGCCTGTAGAAACAAAAGAACAGAAATGGTAGCACAAAATAAGTAACCAAATTTCCTCTGGTCCCTAGAGAGCAAGACGCTGCCTGGATTTGCCAGGTGTTTACAGCTGCTGTTCTGCAAAGCCAGATGGCAGGCAGGGCGAAGGGATATGCCAGCAATTAGCAGTGGCACTCCCCTGAAGGCGTATTTGAAATGCGCTCTGTCGTTGGGGTTTTATGGGGCTAACGCAGATCCCAACACTGGGCCCTTTGTCTGGATTTCCACTTTGTCCTTCTCCTCTGTTATCAGCCCACGCCTGGCAGCTTGCTGGCAGCCCTGCCTGGCACCGTGGGAGTGAGGACGCCGTTGGAGCAGATACCAGGGACTGAGACGACATTCCCAGTTCAGCAGCAGCAAGCCTTTAGCAGGACTGTTTCCTGCAGGCCTCCCAAAGTTAGAGGGCAGCCTCTTCATCAGAGGCTGCAGAGGGGCGTTTTGCCAGTGGTGGGTTTGTTTTGCACGGAACCTGTCTCCAAACACCGCCCGGATGGTTATAGCTGCTGTTCTGCCACAGCTGCTTCAGGGCTTTACAGGCCCTGTGCTGTCAGGGAAACATGTTCTGCTAAGCGGAGCTGCTGGTGTTGGGGAGAGACCACAGTCTCAGCCCTGCATCCAAAACTGTTTTCAACATTAAGGGATGATGGAAAGTTAGTTCTAGAATTGCATGGGCTGAACCCATTTCTACCCAAAACATGGGGCTTCAGGTTTGGGTGGAAATGGCCCAACATGCATTTGAAGAGTGGGGGGGGCTGCGATGGGAGGAACACAGCGGACTGCCATTCTGCCATCACCGCTCCCATGCGTACCTAGGACAGGGCTGAAACCTGGCGTGGCAAAAGGAAGGGAAAAGCCATTTGCAGCAGTGCCATAGCATGGCATAGCCTAGCTGCTCACTGCTTTGGACCATAGTGCCTGGACTTCCCTCTGCTCCTCTCTGGAGGATCAGCTGCTGAGACCTGGGAGCAGGGGCCCCCTGGCTCACAGCTGGGATCCAGCATCCCAACCTCCTGAAGTACGTGCCAAGAGACAGGAGGGATCAACAGGGACTGCTAGATACAGGGGTTCTTATTTAGTGCTGTTTATTGGAGCCAGAGGGGACACTTGCTGGATGCAGTCAGCTGCAGAGTAGTGTGAGGGCTGTACAGCGGTTTGCAGTTCAGTGGCCTGTTCCTTCCTGCAATGGACTTTTGAATATACAAATACTGAGGGAGCGTTTGTTCCGCCTACACATCTACATTTTCCTGAGAGCACAGACATGTTGCCTTCCAAAACTACTCATTCTGTATTTTCAACCAACAAAGTTATTTTGTCCAAAAAAACATGATTGCACACACAGTCTCTGCTGAAATGGGGATTGAACAGCACTGGATTCTCCACCAGGGTGAGGGCTCAAGCATCATCCCTTATGGGAACACTTTGATAGAAAGGAACCAGCTGCTGAAACCACACTGATGGGGACTTTGGGAACAGAATGAATCAGTAGGCAAAACAGGAGACATGACCCACTTAGCTTGCATGCTGGCTAGCAAAGGATTATCCGATAAATAATGCAATATACCCATAATTATTTAACTCTCTAGAGTTTTCTATGTTCTATCAATGTGTCATGTAGAAGTCCAGCACTGCCTCCGATTGCATCTTTTCTAAGGAATTCCATAAAATGGGAGGAGAAAAAAGAGGACTACCCTTTACATTGCATAATATGCACAGAGTCCTTGAATATCTTATGATAGGTTTGTAACACACCCTTTTTCTTGCTAGGTTGGATCACTGCAAATTCTGCCTGAGGCCACAGCGGCAAGTCTGCTGCATTGAGGAATGCTACCAAAATAATGCTCTGTGCTAATTGCAGTGGCGCATACTAAGAAACTGCTTGGATTTGAGCTGAATCTATAGGTTTTTAAGCCCTGCTTAAATTCAAGGAGACTTCCACTGCTCTTGTCATTAAAGACAGTATCACAGAGCATCTGCCTGCAGGGATGACATAATGAGGCAGAGGGGAGACATAAAAGGTTTCAAATGCTGCCTAAAAGACAGAAGAACAACCTGTCCAACTGCTCGACACTCCCTTCTGTCCGCTTCCACTGAGCTTTCTTCTCCTGATGTTGCAAACAGTTTGGCCAAAGCCAGGAGGAGGTCGGAAAGATCATCTTGTGCCTTTGGAAGTCTTTAAATGAGGAGTAGAAGGGACACAGCACAAAGAGAGAGAGATAACTGCTTAAATAGAAACACTGCTTAAATAGAAACTCAGTCCACAGGATGGCAGCATAACAGCTCAAAGTATTCATCTCTTTTTCGCTCTTCTGAGAGTCCAATGTCTCACAAAAGGGGTACAACAGCACTAGTCTGCATCACAGCATGGTGTCCTAGTGAAACCCTGGAGAACGTGCCTGTCACAGTGGCTGAGACAGTGTGTGCTTGAGCAAGAAACGTTCCTCTACTTGTGTCTCTTGAGCTCTAAATCCAAGCCTCTGCCTGCAGGTCTCTTTGCAGAATAGTCATGTTGAGTAGACAAACCTGAGTTGGCAATTTAATGCAGCTAAAGACAGCTCTGTGGCAGTGACAGAGCTTTGTTCTCTAAATGAGAAATCTATTCACCATTCCCTAGAACCCAGAGAAAAAAGACCAGGCTCTCCTCTACTCCCTGGACCCAGATTTCTGGTTTGGGGCTGCTTCCAAATTGGTGGGGACTGTTTCATAGAGCAATGCCAGGCACAGGCCTTTGAGCCAGCTCATCAGGAGCCAACTGCTGAACTGGATGCTCTTGTTTTACAGCCAGTTTCAACCCACGATCATGGGAATTTTCCTCCTTCCAAGCAACTGAGGAAACACTTGGTACGGGTAATTCCGACTTCAGTTTGAAAGGATCTAACCCCCCGTGCCACAGCTTTCTAGCTGGCTAACCAACCTTTTCTGCTTCCCCTCTCAGCTGTCCTCTCACCTGTCAATCGCTGTCTCACAGAACCATCTCTTAGCTGGGTTATCAGCATCGTCTGCATACACCCAAACCCAGGGTCTCACTGCTCTAGGCGCTATGTATATAGGAGGGAAAGGCATCCCTGGTCCTCATTGTTCAGACAGTGAAAGAAGACGATGGAAAACATAGGTGCCCATTTGTAAAGTTCCTGAGATACCTAACCAACTGCAATCGATGGGAGCGCCAACATCATCCAAGGCAATCTGTGGAGGTTGTGGCAGAACCAGGAGCGGACTCTAAATACCCTCAGCCAGTCTCAGAAGCACAAGGCTCCTCTTCTCTATTGGATATACACCTTTTACTTAGCTCATAAGTTCTCAAAGACAGAGCCTGCCCCACATTCACTGTCTGTACAGTGTCCAGCACAATGGGGAGGGGGTGCTTTGAGCTAGTGTACTGAGAACCAGCAGCAGCGAGTCATGCCTTCTCTTCCCAGATCCCCACCTTCCTTTTTCTCACCTACATTTTCTTACTTTGCTTTGTTCATGCTCAGAGGGTCCTGCCTTTCCTTTCATTCAGAGGCAACCTACAAGCATCCACAGCCACTCTACCTGGGGGAGCTCTGGTGACTCACAGCCACACCTAAGTCGTTCCTGCTTTTCATGCCACAGGCAGGGCTGTCTCCCTCTCATCTTCTCTGCTCTCAGATTCATTCTGGCAGCCAGGGCCTGACCCCACGGAGGCCAGGAGGGGAAGCCTTGCTTTAATTTCAATGGGCTTTGAATAAAGCCTCAACTGCTTGGAGGCCAGGGAGCTTCGGCAGCTATGTAGTTTTGCCTCGTTACTCCAGCCTCTGGAGATGCAGTTCACCTGCGAGGAAGCCACTGCTCTTCCGTCACACCTGCACTCTGGCTCTCTCAAGAGAAAGGCGCTTCCCTGCCTGCCTGGAGCATTCAGATCTCTTCACACTCGCACGCTGTGTACACTGGGACCCCACAACTGACTGCTCTCATCTGCCTTTTCTTACTAAAAGAAAAGGAACAAAGCTATTAGTTCCCATTTTCCCCCAAGCTGGTTGAATGTAGTTTTACAGGGTGTGTTTTGAAATGCTTAGGCTTCTCCACTGCAGCTCGCAACACCATGGAATAACGCAACCTCTTCTATCTTCCAGTAGGCAATGGTACTAAGCTGCCTTTTCAGTTCTCCTCGGTGGGACAGAATCCGCCTGGTGACTTCAGCAAACAGTCTGACGGGAGCCTCTTCACTAAGACCGGTACTAGACATTTAGTTTTTTCCCCTTCCTTCTACCCCTTTTTTAGGTGATAAGACATTTAATCCCGTTCTTGCTCTCCCAAAGAAGGCCTGGAGCAGTCCTACACCTGGCCCACATCTCCTGCCTTGACTGTCAATCTCTTAGATAAACGCACGTGTTTACATGAACAACTTACTC